GCCAAGGCAAGATGAACGGAACAGAATGTGTTGCGCGGACGAGTTGTCCGGCCACAGCAGGACGTGGTAATTACGGCCTGTGCGCTCCAATGCCAATGGGATCGCGCCATATGACGCACACCCCTGTGCTGTGGAGAAGTTTAAAAGACAGGCAGGAGATGAGAGATAATGTGAGCGCGGAGAGTGGTAGAGAAGTCCGAGAAGAGAGAGCATAGCAGATCAACGCAGCGACGCAGACAAGATATCGAACGGTGGGCGGACCATGTTAAGTTTGGTGGAGTCTGTTAGAAGTCCATGGCGCCTAGGGTCCTAGTGACGCGTTTCGATGTAGAAAGGTGGCGCTACCTTTGCACTTGCGTACCCAGCACTTCTAGCCATGGTAAGGGCTTCTTAGGTGGGTCTGAGCCCGAACTTTGCCTTTAATAAAAAAGGGTTTAGTGAAAGAAGACTTCACAATGATTAAAAGGCGAAGGCATTTAATTACCATTAATGATCAGAGTGTAGCGTTGCAGTACCAAAAAATTTGCATGAACTGTGCCAATTCGTCACAGATTGGGAACATATCCATTCGGAATTCTGAAATTTCTGATTGGACGCCCAACGGTGATTTTTGATAGAGCAGTTGCCATACTTTTTAAATATTCTCTGTGTGTCTAATTGTCTGTAAGAATATTTCAATTCTGCTTTCTCCTTAGCAAATTGCAACTAGCATCTCGTAGCCTGTAATTTCGCCATTTTCACAAACAAAACCGTAAATACTAGTAGTGAAATCGCAATCGCAAAACAGGAATTTATGGCAGTTAGTTGTGAGAATTTACGTATATATTTATGTGTTTGTGTTCAAGGCACCGTAATTATACTATGGTAAGCTGAACGTGTACGTCAGTGGACATATACTAAATTGGTATGTTCTCGGCGCTCTACCGAACATACTTTGTTTATCTTGAAATAAAACAAACAATACAAACCACGGAACACAAAAAATATCAGTGATCACTCTCGGGGCTATTCAGTAAACTTGCTTTACTCCATCGAGAATTGTGGTCACATAATTCAAGCAAATCGCCGAGCTCAGAGTCAAGACAATCGAGCCACTCTTACCACATTGACGACAGCGGGCGATATACCTCCTTCAAATGACCAGAAATTGTGCAATTGCAGAAATTGACGTGGCATTAACGTGGCATCGATTCAAGAACATCTTTGAGCACACGTGATGTCACCTTTTCATCGAGAATTTAGCCACGTGTGCCACGTGGGTTTCTGGCTGCTAAATTCTCGATGAAAAGGTGACATCACGTGTGCTCAAAGATGTTCTTGAATCGATGCCACGTTAATGCCACGTCAATTTCTGCAATTGCACAATTTCTGGTTATTTGAAGGCGAGGTAGATATCCCGAGCTTTGTAGGCCACGCCGGACCGTGCGGGAATATGTCTTCCGCACACACTCTCTCATTTTTTTTTCGCAGAAGCACGACTTCATCCAAAGCTTTTTGTTTCTATTTTATATATTCGGATATTGATGCAACTAAAAACGAATGAACTAAACTAAACGTTGTGGTCCATGGAATAGTTAAATATGCTTCAGTTTGACAAATTTTCCAAAACTCGTGAACTTTTCAATTCAGCTCAAACTCACACTAACTCTTAAGAAAGAAGTAAAATTGTGAATGGCATTTGAATGTTTGGCCAAAACGTTGAGAACGATAAATTGCCATGTTGTAAAGTTCCAACTTTATAGTAGAAAAACGTATACGAACACTCTTCAACAAGGTCTTCAATTTGATCCATTTTGTAACCCTAAATAGGCGTTTACTCAATCGAAACTTCTGCTGGAGGAGCCACTTTGTTTGTGCTTTTATCATGTAAGCTAACTTACTTAGTCACCGCTCTCTAAAGTTGTTTATACGTTCGAGCTTCCAAAAACGGGCCTTGTTGGACCGTGCGGGGGATATGTATACCGCGACAAATGCGGTCGCAAAATCGCGTCGGTCCCACATGGCCAAAAACACCAAAACTCGCATTGTCGTCAACGTGTTAAGCTGTTCATTTTTCCGTATATGCAGTAAATATAATGCGTCTTATTGTGGTACTGCCATCTGGAACTGTTCGGAAACATAGTTCCAAAAATTTCTGGAAATGTGTTCAAGTAGAAGATGTGTCGAATGTGATAGCTAATTCTAAATTTTTTTTTTCAAAATCCACATTAAAAAAATCAGAAAGGATATGTTATGTTTGTTGATCCCTAGAAATGCATAATGACTATCAGCTTTTTTTCTTCTTCTTCTTCAGCTTCTCGCGGAAGAAAGCCCATAGTGTGAACTCTTAAATAACAGTGAAATTTCGGAAAAAGGGAGGATGCGTCAGGTAGCAACAAGGTGAGCCTAAGTTACATGATGAATAATGTTTCCTTTTAGGATCTTTAGGGCAAAGAAATAGAAAGGCTTTATAATTTTTTTGCTCCGGAAATTGAGTCTTCTTTTCATCTCTAGTGTGCTCTTCCCATCAAACTTTGTTCAACAAAGAAATTTTCGCAGTTAGAACATCATGTCCTTACGTTAATGCGTCAACTCATAGAAATGGCAATTCAAGTGGTATCCCCTTTGGAGGGGGGATTCAATCCTGCAGTTTGACCTTTTTTGAACTTCTTTTAACATAGCTTGAAGTTGCCAGGCGTCGTATCTCATGACTGCCACATTGTCTACACATCTGAGATGCATGAACAATATCCATTTATTAAAACCCTTCCTAGCCGACCGGGAAACTAAAAGAATACATTTCCCAGTACAACCACGTATTTTGACATTCACGTTGGCAGCCTTGTAGACGCTCGAGAAAAGACTGTTGATTCGCGGGTAATTCCTTGACAGAATAGCCATTTCCAGCGAGTGCCATATCCTGCGGAGATGAACGTTTTGAATATTCAATGAAGCAGTCGACAGAACAATTGCGTACTCGCGGCTTCCTTTCATAAAAATAGATATAACGTTGGGCTTTACTGTATTGGGATGTTACACTTCTTCCATTCATTGGTAACTAAATGCGATTGGGGGGCCTACTCATTTACTTGCGGTGCCTAGTCTATGTAAGAGTCGGTCCTCTAACCTTGATTAGCCCGGACAGACACGCGCGTGTGGTAAGCATCGTCACTTGCAACAATACCACTTTCGCCCGATTTTCTCCATAAGCTGATTGATGACGTGGGGATGTGATCTACGGTTGTCAAATTTGTGCGAGATAACCTCGTTTGAAAGGCAGGTTGCTTTCCGAAGGTGTTGTCATCCATTGTCCAATAACCAAAATAAACAGTTGGAAAATCGTGGTAGTAATGCGATAGGGCGCAAGTTGCGAATATCCAAAAGGTTGACTTTTTTGTCACTATTCTGTATTTCAGCTTACTCTAACTGCTCTTGTTTCAGACCATCCTAAGCTGTCTTTCGATCACATTTCGATTGTCTATCTTATTGTTTATATTTTTATTTTTTTCTATTTTTTTTCTAAACAACTGAAGAATTTCCGCGTAGTTTCCGTTGCATTTTTTTACCGCTCCCCTAT